TGGAATTGCAATACACACAATCATTGTATGTGGCTGAGATGTAAGCAGAAATCTTGTAGCCTTGGCACAAGGCCAGTGGTGGACATAAGTGATGCAGCAGTTGAGCAGGGAGCAAAGGCAAGACCGCAGGTGACTCGCCAGAAGCTGGGCGGGCGCATCTCCTCTGGATTCCTCCCTCTGGGAACCTTGACACATTTATACACATCTGCAGCACCATTGGTCCTAAGCTCTGTCAAAATAGCTACAGCTACTAACAAGCAAGAGTTTTTCTTGCTTCTCTTCTGGAAGGATAACAACCTAAGTTTGCAAACCAAAAAGTAGAGCAAAAAAAAAAAAAAAGGGCTTCAAGGACAGCCAACATTTTGGCCCTATCCTTTCAAGGTAAGTGAGGACTCAGGATGTAGAAGAACCTATATTGTAACATCATGTAACTTAGTTGTGTCCCAAATTTTCTGATCAAGGATTATGAGGCAACAGAGAAATGTGATTGGTGGTGTAGAGTGTGCCTAAGGAGAGTCACATGGAGAGAAAACATTCTCTCAGACTTTCACAAAGAGCAAATTGGTCAAGCAATGGCTGCAACTCATCTACGTGGATGACACTGACAAAGGATCTGCAAATTGCAGTACAGGGTAATAGAATAAATCCTGAGGAAACTTGACTAAACTTATCAGATACAAAAGATACATTGCTTGCTATATAGGTCTTGTTCTATCTTAGTCTTAATAATTCAGCAGAAAAGTATAGAAATGAGGTATAAATAGTAAAGCCACATTAATATGCTGAGCTGTGAAATGCTCAAGTCAACAACTTCTGACATTGCCAGTCCTATGGATAACCCACTACTGTTATGGACTACTGGATTATATTGGATTATTTTGCTGAATTCATGCACCTATAATATTCAAATGGCAATGAAATACCCATCTCTAACAAAACTAAACAAAAAAGGAGATACAAAGGAAGGACCATTTTGTATCTGTATATACAAAATAGGATAGATATACAGTTACATTCTCTTAATTCAGTGAGAAGAAAGATTTGTACTAATAGTGTTCGGACAGGATGTCATGTCTTCATCTTGTAAATTGAACAACAACTAAGATTGTAACAATATGCAATGTATTAATTATTGAAACTGTCCTATTAATTGTTTTTGAAGCTGTCTTATTGCTGTTTCTCAATAAAATTAATAAAAAATAAAAATAAAAATATAAAAAAGGGCTGGGGATAAAGCTCAGTGTGGAGGCCTGATTTTCATGCCCAGTACCACAATAAAAATACAAATAAAGTGAAGTTGATTCTTGAAAAAAATAAAGTTTTTCTTAACTTTTCTACTTTTGCTTATGAGAGCAAATCATTTGGAATCCATTAAAAAGCTGTCAATCACAATTATACAACTTCAATTTATATTGGCAGCGAGCAGAATTATTTCATACACTTGGTATATGTGTGTGTGTGTGTGTGTGTGTGTGTGTGTGTGTGTGTGTGTGTTTATGCTTGCCAGCCACATTTATGAAAGAAAACTGATGCATCTACTTTAACATATTCCATATATTTTGAATTTTAATTAACACA